GTTTAGCCTAAGACAGACTTAAATAACAGCAGGAAAGATCTATGTGGAAATTAGGAGACGTTTTCACTCCAGTAAGGTCAAAACGCTGAAGAGGTGGCATGGCAGGATCTGCCCTCTTTCACTGGAAGACCTCAAGAGTGGGTAGACCCATGTTTGTCAGAGCAAGATGGGACATGGAAGAGACTGACTGGCCTTGGGGAGTCCCATCCAGCCCTTTAGTGGGATATATCCCAGAAAGACGATTAATTGACTGCAATTTTGCTGTCACACTTAATGACTTTTGGCAGCACAATGGCACGGGGCATTTTCTCTGCTAATTTAAATGAATTGCCAGCTGGCCCCGTTAAACGCCACAGATATCTTCTTTAAGCAGCCATATGGCTTTGGGAACCGTCCTTCGCTTTACCTGCTGTTTGAAGGCAAAGGTAGATTAAAAGGAAGCACTTAATTATTTTGCAAAAAAACCCCACCCTAGACCCTCCCCTTATTGCTGCAAATACCCAATGCCCGTGGCGGTGGCTGGGCAGCGCAGCTGCACCATGCTCTCCTCGAACCCCTGGTCACAGCTGCGGGGACAAGGCACGGAGCTGAGATAAAACAGAGCTAATTAGCTGACCAAGGCCAACTGGAAAATGAGCCTCCCAAGGCTTTCTGGGCAAGTTTCCCTCTGCTGAAGGCACACCTTGTCCGCAGGCCATGCAGTGCACATCTTCATCAGCTGCATCATGCAGAACGAACACAGAGGAACAGCCTTTCTAGGAGCTCCCCAGCTGCTCAGAGCGTGTTATGAAAGGTTTTGTGCCATTTCTGGGCAGAAATATGGCAGAAATCAGTATAGTAACATCACACTGAGGTGGTGTAGGGGACAGAAGTCCAGGCGTTGTTTCGCCCCTGATGAATGTGGCCAAGAAGTCAAGGCTGGTTTCTGAAGGAAGCCCTCGCTCAGCTTCTGGCCTCTGAATTAATGACTCGCCCGGCCAAACCTGTGAAGAAGCAAAGGCTCCATCGCTTGGGGTTCCACAGGATGGGGACTCCTGCTACAGCCCCTGTTTCTGCAGTGGGCAGCTGGCTCTTAAGGACCGATTGCCAGCCAGCAGTAAGAAATTACCTGTAATCATGCTGTCTGCTTGTTGCTCCTTTGCTAATTACAGCGCTCGGGCCCTGCCAGAAGCAGCAGCAGCTCAGGCTCCGAGGGACTTTGGAATGTGTCACCGAGCCTCTCTTCTCTGCAGGGCCTCTGCTAGGGCAGGTAACGCAGCTGCCCTGGGAAGGGGAGGGAGCAGAAAGCGCTTGAGAGACTTAGAAGAGAATAACATCCTAAAAAAGCTGGGAACTCTTCAAGAGATGAAGGAAATTCTGAGGACAAATTGCCCACTTAGACCTGTTATGGTTCATTTTAAATCTAAATAGAGACATCCCCCAAACTATGCCTGAGGAATTCAGTAAAATACCATTTTTTGCAGTTTCTTACCAAATGTTGTAGTGGGGTAAGTTCTTAAAATATTGTAGAAATGTTAAGTACTGCCTGAGTTTGCAGGACCCAGCCAGGCCAGGGAACACCGTAGTTGTGATTTACCTGTGGGCACAAGCAAACTCAGCAGCAAAACTACCAAAAAGCTGCCAGGTGTAGTTTTCCCAGCTCTCGGATGGTGAATGGCGTGCCTTGTGCTGTCTGGTACGCCGTGACATATTGTTTGCCACCTTCCTTCAGCGATTCCCCTTCGGTCAAACCCATGGAATAGCAACGTCATGGAGGAAAGCGTTCATGGGAGCATCACTCAGAGGCGTTACTCCATCCAGCTTGTCCGGCTCGGGGCCGGTGAGCTGGGTAGCAGATGAGGATTCCTCTATCCTCTTCAAACAAGAGCCCCAAACGAAATGATCCACTTCAAGTACAAGGATTTTAAATAATGTTTAGCCCTGGTGTGAATGTCTGACGGTAGAGCAGCTGTTCTCTGTTTACTCTGCGGCCTCGATTTATTCGTTCTTTTCTGGTTCTCCATGTGTTTCGGATATATCGTCTACAGTTACATTTCTCCCTCTCTCTTTCTTTCATGTTCCTTTGCCTCCTTTTGTTCACCATCAAAGTTTCACAAGGTAAGTTTGTTTCTGTTCCTCCTCCTCCTCCCACCCCATGGCAGCTCCCCACGGAGAATAATGAGCGCTCAGCTGGGGTAAGCACTTTGGGATTGGATTTGACCGGTGCTGCCCGCTCCCAGCCCGAGTCCAGCTGTGTGCCTGTACGTGCATTCACCTGTCTCTGTGTCTGTCCTGTGGCCACATAGCCCCAGGGACGTGTTCTCCACCCAGCATTGAAATGCCCCTCAGGCTGCCCCTCAGAGCAGAGCGGAGACCCTTTTCAGCCTGGAGAGCATCTGGAGGCCACCCTCTGCATGAACCCAGTCCTGGCAGAGTCTGTGCACGAACTGGTTTCTTTTTGCCTGAATCTTACTTGCAATGCTTTACAGAAGAAATGCCATTTAAAGCAAACTTGATTAAATCAGTGATTTTCTGTGCAGATACTCAAATCAACTTAATCTTGATCCCAGAGCCATTCGTTTTACAGAACTGCACCTTAACTGTATTGCAGGCGTATTAATGTAAAGCTGCTTCATACAGAACAGCTATTCCTATGCAAGAAATGCAATAACTATTTTTCATATATAAACTATTTAATAAGTTAAGTCTGAAGTATTTTAATGAATAAGTTTAGCATAGGACAGGTCATCTTTTGGCTTACTTTGGTCATGTAAAGAGAGATACAGGCTTGGCCACTGTAACTGGCTTCCAGCCAGCTTCAAAGCTGATCGCAGGAGTGAAAGGATTTCTACTATATCTTAGTAAAAGGCATGGCTATGCAAGCTGGTCGCTGTAAGCATATGTTGCTTACTTTAGCTAAGGGTTTATGGCATGCCCCAACTCTCTAGTCCATGTGGTTGGTTGGGTTTTTTTTTACTGTGCTCCCCGAACAAATTAAACCAATGCTGTAGACAAGCCCATCTTACAGGTTTCCAACCAGTTCATCTTGCCCTCAGAGCTGACTCACACTTCGAACATAAATGTATAAGAAATCATCATTTTTTCCCCCCAGAAAAAGCTGTTTGAAAGAGGTGAGAGTCTTTCTATTCAGCTGCACACAATGCGAAGCAATGTGGTGCAGGGTAATATGTGCTGATAAGTGTCATTAATCTCCTCCTCTATTTCTTGTGCTGTTTAGCAGCAGGTGATCCAGACTGCCAAGCCTGGGTGAATGCGTGGATTTTTCCAAAGTACAGCAAAGTTCATTTGCTGGGGCCAATTCTTAGTTCAGCAAAAAGTCCCTTAAAGATAGGGGTTGTGGCACCTGCTGGTGTTTTCTGTTACAAAACTTGCAAAAGCCTGACCTAAGGGTTGGAAAGAAATATTAAAAAGCATCAATGGAGAAGTGTTTGAAGAGTTAAGCACTCTTCTGAGATGTGAAATTTCAGGCTCATTTGAAATTCAAATCATAAAAATGACAGGCTACTTCTGTTATTTAAACAAAGAAAGAAAAAACCCTCCAGATTTTTAAAAAGTTTCCAGTTGAAAGGTCTTAAGTGTTGCAGGATGCGCAGGTAAGGACAGTTTGTTTGCTTCTTTAAAAAGGAGATCTTTTGCATTGATGCTATCGTAATAACAATCCAGCTTCTCTTAAAAAGAAAGCAGGTAAAGCTTCTGATGCAGTCATTGCAACTACCTAGGAAAGCATTAAAAAACCCCAGTATTTTTCTCATTATCCTGTGTCAGCACAGGAGCTGTGGGTGCCCTCCTATTGCCCTTTCCTGCCCCAGCACCCTGGGAGAAGCAGCCCCCCCACCATGGGATGTACAGCCTCCCCTCAACCACTGCTTACAGGACAGTAAATAAAAGTGGGGCCCCAGTGCCCTGAGAAGCTGTGATGAGCAGCGGGACAGGCTGCTTTATCTCTTGCATGGGACCTCGGTGTCCCCCAACATAGAGCTCCCCCTCCGAGGGCTTCGCTGCCTTCGTCAGGAGGTGCATCAGACCCCATGGCTGGGGGAAGAGGAGGAGGAGTGGTTGAGGAAGAGGGATCAGGGCAGTTTCCCCGTGCAATTGATTTTGCTGCTGGAAAGCTCAGTTTTCTTTGGTCCCGCTGGAGGGCTGCTGTGCCCCAGCAAAAGCACCCATAATTCTGCTGGGCTGGAGCAAAGCGAGTGCAGAACAAGGCAGTGAGAATATCATTAGGGAAAGGGCCCACAGAGGCATCCCGAGGTCTGTGTTTGAACTCTGAGACGTCAGCATGGGATTAAAGGCGTCCCCGTTCTCCTCCAAGAGATGTTGGTTCACCTCTGCAAACCACAGCCCAAATCAATTACTGCTGGAGAGCTCTGTTAGCAAAAGCCAGCATGGGAACTGAAAGGTGGATAGAGGAAATCAGCCTCCTCCTACCCGGCAACCCTCTGGGAGGATGAGGTTCGGACGCAGAATGCAAGTAGAGATGTGAGTGTGTGGGATGCACAACCAGCAAGCTGGCAGGTCAGCGCATGGGAACAGCGGTGTCTCTGGAGCAGTATATAAGGCCATACATTTCCCCCGCACTGCAGAAAACCATGCTCTGATACAGAACGATTTAGGCAGAAAATACAGCATTTCCGTAAAGGTTTTAGGTTATTGGGCTGTACTGGAATTGGTGGCCACTGATACCTACTGTGCCTTTATAACCTCTTCAAGCAGACGTGCCTGTGCCCATGCCGGGGCCGGTGGCAGGCAGGGACCCCGGTGGCAAAGGGGGGGGAGGGGGGGCCTCCCGCCAGCCACGTCGCTGTGCCTGGGAAGGTGGTTGCACCCCGTGGTTGCACGGGGCAGATGTTGGCTAAAGCAAGGCAGGGCAGCTCACCTGGCTGAGCCTGCCCTGGGGCAGCCTGGTGACAAGGAGGGACATGGCAGCCCCCCCTTATTCTTCCACGTGGTTTTCCAGTCCTGGTAAACCAGGCTCATGGCTCGCTTGAGCCTCGCCAAGGGTTCTCGTTAGGGATTAACACTAATCATGTTCCCTTCCCCTCCCTCCTCACAGGCTACAAGGAACAGGGGATCCCACAGCAGCTGTAGTGGCTGGGACAAGTATGGGCAGAGAAACACGGCGAGAGATTTCCTTTGGCAGCTGTGGGCCACGGACCTTTTCATTACCCTTTGTCTTTCTTCTTCTTCCTTTTCTTTTCTTTGCTTCTGTTTGAACCCGGTTCACCTGCCTGTCCAGCGGAGCGGAGGTGCAGAGCAGCCGACGGAGACTTGCACTGATCCCGTTGAGCAGCGGAGATGGGGCAAGCACAGCGCGGGTTAGGACTGGCCCCGGCCAGCACGCGGTGGGCGGCCAATGAGGAGGAGGAGGGTGCCGGGAGAAGGAGACACCCCCGGCGAAGGTGGCACCTGGGCAGGTGGCTGAGCTAGGGGAGCAGGAGATGCCACTTTCTCTCTTCTCTCAGGCGGAAGTAACTGAAGATGCTTTTTGCCTCCTTTTTACGCTCACCGTTAAAGGAAACTGGCTGTGAACATCAAATGCCAAGGAGCTATTAGTAGATATATGTACAGTATGGAAAAGCAAACCAGTGGTACTTTTTCCCCCCCAAGAGTCCATCCTTGACTGCTTTGTGGTGGCAGAGGGCTCAGCCCAGCCTCCTCTGCTGTCTGTGTATATATGACGCTCAGTGAAGCTCTGTCCTTGCAGATGTCTTGAGAAACGTGCTTGCTGTAAATCGTGTTGTACTGCTCAACTGACTGGGATCGTTCCCTGCTTCCATCCGCTGGCACAATGCAAAGACAAGACCTCCCACCAGCCCCTGGGGAGACTTTATCTGGCAAGGGACTGGCAAGGGTGGTGGGATCAGCTACGTGCTGTCAAAATCTTCTAATATAAAACAATACTGGGGGAGTCAACAAAAAAAAAAAAAAAGAAAAAAAGAGGCTTTTCCACCCCTTTCCCTGAAAGATCCGTGCTGGAAGCATCTCCGTGCTTTGGAAATGGATCCCCTTACAGCGCGGCGTGCGCTCCTGGCTGAAGCAGCATTCCCGCTCCGCTTCCCTGGGGTAAGTGCCCGAAGCCTGAGCATCATGACCTGGTGCTAATGGGGTGCTTGGTAGTGGCCATGGTTGGAAGGCTCATGGCCACATTGGGGTAGGGCTGTGTTTTCATGGTTTGAACACACGATGCGCAGAGCTGACTCGGGCACTCAGGTGGAAGGACACCGGCTGGTGTTTCAGCAGGGTGAGAGGAACTCAGCTGAGGGGGACCTGGGAGCACCATCTGGCTGCTTTTCGACTCCAAAAAGGTAGCAGGAGGAGCCCTGCTGAAAGAGGGCAAAACTAGGTGGCTGCTCTTGCCTGGGGAGGGTCTTCCCAGCGAGAGGAGCTTCACACAAACTCACTGCCAAAACTGGGAGCTGCTAGAGTGTGACGGAGCCAAGACCCGCTTCCAGCCCACCAGTCCTGCAGAGGCATGGCTGGTGGGTGAGGGGATGGCAGCAAACCCCACTGGCCTGCAAGCTCCTGGCCTCTCCAAGAACGACATTTTGCTTTCGAGGCACGTTTTCATTTTCCGTGCAGAACAGATCCTGTCAGTTGGAATAAGTCTTGTTGCAAAGAGAGCTAAGTCAAACAGCAGCAAGTGCCCCTGAGCACACGTGTCTCCTCCTTGCCTGACCATCCGCAGGCAGAAAGCGCGGAAACACCTGCCAGGCTCTGAAAACGCCCGCTGTGTCCTCAGAGATATCGCAGAGGTACATGGAGCAGGACAGCTGCCTGCTGAGGGTGGAGGAGAGCCCTGCACTCGGCACGGCACCTGTTGGTCACTCCCCCATGTTGCTGGTGGGGTAGGAAGCTCCTTCAGTGTTTACAGCAGTAGGAGACACGGCTCAGCCTCCCCATAGCCCCAGGTGCTCTCCTGATGGTTGGAGACCCTCTGGCTTTAATACAGGACCTTTCCTCACGAAAAGTTTCCTAGCTGCCTAACGCCCACTCTTCGCTGCAAGCCCACAGCCTGCGGGAAGCAGGCACCAAAGGCTCACTGTGCTTCTCCGGGCTCATGAAGTCTTTCTCCAGGGCACAATCCACAGTCCCAGCTAACTTGTGGTGGGACAGGACCTGTCCAAACCATGCACGTTTACCCAGCTGTCATGGTTTAGGCCGATCCAGCAGCTAAACTCACAGCTGCCCACTCACCCTCCCCCACCCGCCAGGGATGAGGAACAGAATTAAAGAAGAAAAAGAACAGAGACCCGTGGGTTGAGATAAGGACAATTTACTACTACTGCTACCAATATATATATGTACGGATATGTACAAGGCTAAATATATACAAACGAGTGATGTACGGTGTAATTGCTCACCACTCGTTGACTGAGGCCCGTCTTGTCCTGAACTAATGATCCCGAAACAGATAAATCCCGATACCGCAATCTCGGATGAAGGGGAGGCCCAAAAATAGAGAGTGAGACAGGGAGAGCACTCTGAGAGTCCGAAAGTGAGAGTCCCGGAAGAGCAAAGGCCCTTCTTTCCGGCTGACCCTCAGTTTTATACTGGGCATGACGCTGCATGATATGGAATACTAATTGGCCAGTTTGGCCCTCAATCGTAAGTCTAAGTACAAATCATAAGGAGAGTCGTGGACCCCCCATCCCGGCTATGCTCCCCTCTTATCCTGTTGTGCTCCTGCACACTGGCAAGAACACAACAAGCTGAAAAGTCCTTGAGACCTCAGTGCCAACTACAAACATCAGCTTGCTATCAACATTCTTCTCAGAGCGAGCCTCTGAGTAAAACCAAAACATGGAGCTCTTCTAGCTGCTAAAAAGAAGAGCTAACTCTGTCCCAGCTGAAACCAGGACACCAGTGCAGACATCAGAGCAGATAACAAACTTTTTTCACCCCACCCTTCAGTGATCATGCACTACAAAAAGCTTTGGGCTGCCTGGACAGGAGAAAGCAGCAGAGCGTTGGGAACCTTGGGAGCACCAGGCTTCACCACGAGCCGGGAGACCACTGGCTCGAGCACTTGCCCTGATCTTAGCAGCCTTAATCAGAAAAGCAAACGGAACCCATATATCGATTAGATATAAGGAAAAAATTTTTCACTCAGAGGGTGGTGAGGCACTGGAACAGGTTGCCCAGAGAATTTGTGGCTGCCCCATCCCTGGAAGCGTTCAAGGCCAGGTTGGATGAGGCTTTGGGCAACCTGGTGTAGTGGAGGGTGTCCCTGCCCATGGCAGGGGGGTTGGAACTAGATGATCTTTAAGGTCCCTTTCAACCCAAACTGTTCTATGATTCTATAATAAGGTTGCAAATTTGTAACACAAACAACTCATTGTATATTTTACCAAGCCAGACTTCAGCTAGGGCAGTGTGTTTTTGCAGACATTCCCTTTGTGCACGTGCAAGTACTCGCGGTGTTTGAGCACGGCGTGCCCAAGCCAACACGCTCAGCTGAACACCTGCAAAACTGCACAAACCCCACTGAGCATGTCCTACAGTGCCTATAGTCTATAGGAGACATATGTTTAAACTGGCTCTTTGACGCATGGTTAGCAAGGGGAGAGGAAACAAATCAACATGAAATGTATTTGTGGAAGACCCTTTGGATTAAGTTTAAAGCAATGTTTTGTAGGTGCTGGCCAAATATTAAGAGTAACCCCCTGCATCTGTAGGTGACAGACAGACATCGCTGCCCCTGTGGTACAGCTGAGAAGCAGCAGTAAGCGGTAAGGTTAAATTACCTGACTCCAAAGCAAACCCACGGGAGAACCACGGGAATAACTCAGGCTGCATTTCTCTTGCCTCGCACCCTGAACAGCAGCTCATGCTGCTACACTTGCCAGCCAGAAACAGGTATTTAGCAACCACCCTGTATCCAAATGAGCTCAGCTTTTTGGGCTGCTCCACAGGAAGCAAAGCCCCATAACACAGTGCAAACAGGAAAGCTGCTTGTTTGTGATTTTAGAGGAAGATGGATGAAAACCATCAACTTTGAGAGATGCGTAAGCCATACAATGCAGGCAGAAGTGAGGTGAGTTTCTTTGGAAGACAAGCATCAGTCAGTGTTTCTTGTTAACCCAAGTGCTCAAGAGGAAAAGCAGCACAGTTATCCTGCCATGGTGCTGTGCCACAGCGAGGCACGGTTACCGTGCTTTGCCAAGGAGAGGCTTACGAGACAGCAGCATTTTGAAAAAAATTCAACTCCTGTAGGTCAGTGTTGGAAAGATGAAACCCAAGAGCCATCTGACATCTGCGTTAAAGCCAAGGGATGAGCTCCTCAAGATTATTGTTGCCACAGCAATCACCAAAAGGATTTCTGCTCATGATGTTCAACAATTTCAACTCTCTTTGACCATTTCTACCGAAAGGACCAGTTAAGAGGGTGGCTGCTCAGTGACCTGTGCTGCAGGATCTGCAGCTCTGTTGCTTGCAGGACTGTACAGATGTTACAGAATTGAGCTTCAGCATTTACTGCGAGACAGAGAAGCTCTGAGATCTTATAGCAGCCTTCCAGTACCTAAAGGGGGCCTACAAGAAAGCTGGAGAGGGACTTTCTACAAGGATGTGTAGTGATAGGACAGGCACAATGGCTTTAAACTGAAAGACGGGAGATGTAGATAGAACGAAGGAAGACATTTTTTAGAATGAGGGTGGTGAAACACTGGAGCAGGTTGCCCAGGAAAGTCGAGGATGCCCCATCTCTGGAGGTGTTCAAGGCCAGGTTGAATGAGGCTTTGAGCAATCTGATGTAGTGGAAGGTGTCCCTGCCCATGGCAGGGGGGTTGGAAGTAGGTGATCTTTAAGGTCCCTTACAACTCAAACCATTCCATGATTTCCCACCTGGCAAAATAAGGGAGTAAATAGGACCCTAACCAGGAGCAAACAAGGAATCAGTAGTACAACTGGAAAACACCTTCACAAGCTGCTGCTATGATGGGTGTGAACTCTTTTTTGAGGTTTATAATTAGTCATCAAGCCACCCAAATGACTTGCTAGCTCAACCGCAGCGAATGCAATGACCAGGAGCAACGGTTCCTCCTCACATTTACCAAAACAGAACAGCTAATTCAAGTGCAAACACTAAATGCTGCCTGAGCATCGAGTTGGGCTGTGGCCTTGGGACGAGCGTGTGGGAGCCTCTGCGGACATGGCTAACGGGTTTCGCTAGGCCACCTGGTAGAGGTGTT